CATTTTGGCCTGTAACCTTGGAGGCTACTTTTGGGGTTAGGTAGAGCTTAGATTATGAGATTCACCAGCTAAGTAAGTTGAATTAATCATTTAAAATCTTCCCACAATAAAAAGTGCAGGTCCAGATAGTTTTACCAGTGAACCCTATCACACACCTGTGGAAGAAATTATCCCACTTTTGTACACCAACACTTTCAGAAAATAGAACTGTTAGGAAGCTTTTCCAGCTTATTTTATGAGGCAAATATTGCCCCAACACCAAAGTCAGATAAAAACGGTACAAAACAAAACTATAAATCAGAAGGAGGAGGAAAAAAGCAGACTTTTATTTGAAATGCTTTAACCTCCTAGGCAATGCCTGAAGGACTGGTCTTTGCTTTGCCTAACTCAGGTCTCAAGCAGGGAGAAGCAGTGCCTGCTGCTTGGGAAAGTTACTGGGAGACTGGCCCATAGACACTTGGGGTAAGACATTATGGGTGGAGACATATAATAGACCACCAAAGGCCTCAAGGAGAGGTTCATTTGGAAAATAAGACATTAAAAAGCAGCAGTGTACATGGAGAAATTTAAAAAGCCACACAATGGCCCAGCCAAGATGCATGCTCACAAAAGAACTCATAAGATCTTAAGCTTTCTCCTTAAGCTGATCCTAAGACTTAGAACCATAGACCACCTAAGTAGTGAAAAACTTCCCTGACACAGGGACCGTCTGCAAAGACTGGAAGAGGTGTCTGCTTTCTCAGCTGCCCAATTTTCAACAACAACAAAACCCCCACAATGCATATTTCAAAAACCCAGAAAAACCTGTCCCTTTCAAAGAAGAAAATGAAGTAGCAGATATCTTTCCTGAAAAAATACAGACATTAGTCTTACTAGACAAATACTTTAAAATAAGTATCTTAAATATGCTGAAAGAGCTAAGGGAAAATGTGAACAGAGAACTAAGTGGAATCAGGAAAACAATATGTAAACAAAATTAATCATCAGCAAAGAGACGGAAATTATAAACTGGAACCAAATTCTGAAGCTGAAAAATACAATAACAAAGTTGAAAAATGTACTAGAGGGGTTCTGCAGTGGATTTGAACAGGCAGAAGAAAGAATCAGTGAACTTGACTATAGGACATGTGAAATTATAAATTCCGAGAAACAGAAATAAAAAGGAATAAAGAAAAGTGAACAGAGTTAAGAAACATATGTGACATCATCAAGCAGACTAATATATGCATTATGGGATTTGCAGAAAGAGAAAAGGGAGACAAGCAGAGAGATTATTGGAAGAAATAATGACAGAACACTCCCCAAATTTATGGAAATCATGTTTAGAAATCTAAGATCAGCCAAATCCAAGTACGACAAACTCAAAGAGACCCAGACCAAGACATGATGACACTGTAGAAAGAAAAAGACAAAGAGAGAATTTTGAGAGCAATGAAAGAAAAGCAATTCTACATATATATGGGATCCTCAATGAGATTATTACTCAATTTCTCAGCAGAAACCTTGAAGCCAGAAGGCATCTAAGGCATCTGGTTCCCTATAATCTGTTGAGAAAAGTATTTGCAACTGATTTACAGAGAGTTCTGCATTTTATGCTGCAGACAGTAGACAGCTACAACACGGTGGTCCCTCTCTGCGGTGGTTCTAGAGGCAGTAAAGAGAAATATTCCCAGTCTGCAGAACTTGGAGCAGTGTACCTGATTGTTCATTTTGTTTGAAAAGAGGAATAGTTACACGTAGAGGTCTATACTGATTCATAAGCAGTACCTGACTGCTGGGATGGATGGTTTGGACCTTGGAAGGAAAATGATTAGAAAATTGGTGACAAAAAGGTCTAGGGAAGGAAAATATGTTGGAAAGATTAAATGGGCACATAATGTGAAGATATTTGCATCTCATGTGAATATTTTCTAAATATTCAAGTTGGCTTTTATATTTCAATGACGTAAAAATCTCCTTTATAAGAATTTTGCAGTTTTTGTTATTTTTCTCTTAAGTACTTTTCTTTTGCTGCTGAAAGTAATAACATTTCTTTATTTAGGTTTAACCTTTGTTCCCTGTGATCATTAATTTTATGTATCAACTTGGCTAAACTATGATGTTCAGTCATTTGGTCAAATACCAGTCTAGATGTTGCTATGAAGATATTTGTGGATGTGACTGCCATTTATAATCCATTGGTTTTAAGCAGATTACTCTCCATAGGGTGGGTGGGATCTTATCCAAAGAGTTGAAAGTATTAAGAGCAAAGACTCAGGTTTCCTGAGGATGACTCAGTTCTGCCTCAAGACTCCAATGTAGAAACCCTGTGTGAGTTTTCAGCCTGTGGGTCTGCTGTGCAGATTTCAGACTCAAGACTGCAATTTCAGCTCTTACTTAAATTTCCAGCCTGCTGGCCTGCCCTACAGATTTCAGACTTGCCAGCCTCCACAAAAACATAAGCCAATTCCTTAAAATAACTCTCTCCCCCATTCTCTCTGTATATACATCCTATGGGTTGTGTTTCTCTGAAGAACCTGATTAATACGCTTCTCAACACAGTAAAGAACACAGTAAACAGCTGAAAAACTCTGGTCTTGAGATGCTGTGTGGTATGACGGAAAATGCATGGTTCTGAAATCACAGAGCAGAGTTCACTGGAGCAAATAACTTATGGTCTTGTAACCTGATTCCTCATCTGTAGAACCAGGATAAAATTACCTGACTTACATGGCTATTGTGTTGGGTAAAGTTAAACATTGTATGTAGAGTGCCAGTTATGGTTCTTGGTTCACGGGTGCACAGTAGTAATCAACTATGTTGAAGGGGGATGCATTGTTCAGTCATCTACTTAGTGCTCTCAGTGTCGTTAAATTATTTAATCAACCTGGGTCTCTTGGATGTTATTAAATGTAATATAGTTATTTTATTTGACACACAGTAACATCACACCAGTATCACCTCCTGGGTGGTTAGATTTATACAGAATTCAAACATTATTTGAGGTTAGTTCTTGCCACTTATCTGTGTAAGGTCTAGGGCAAATTTGTTTCCATGAGTCTACTCTCAATTCAGATACTAATAATTATCTTGTGAGGCTTTCGTGAGAAGTAAATGTGATAACATGAGAAAACGTGCTCAGTATAATCCCAAGCATATAGTAGATGCTCAATATATCTGCTAGATGTTGTCGGAGTAATGAGGATTTCAAAGGTGAGTTGGATCAGTTGTTGTACTAAAGAGGAGCTTACATCATCTAATGATGACAAAATCCACAAGACCACGTTGGGAGTTACAGTTCTTTTAATAGTAGAAAGCAGACAGGTAGAAAAATATCCACATAGGAGGTATAAAGTGTTAGCTAGAGAAAAGAAACAGATGTCATGGGAAGATGATAAAAGGTCTATTTTTGCTTATTTACCGGATTATGTGCATTTGGTATGTGATCTCATCATCAGTGGAAGCTATGAAGTGCTTTCACAGGCCTGCCACCTTGCCAGTGGCTAGTCATCTCAAGTAGAAGGGTGGGTGCCCTAAGAACTGGGCCAAAGCAACAATTTTGCCAGCAGCAGAGAGCTTTTTCAGGCTTAAGTACCAAAGTCCAGAATGAATTAGAAACAATCAGTTGATGGCGAAAGGCTTGACAGTTTAGTGAGAAATACGACAATAGGAACACTCAAATTACATATCTAGCTTACAAAACAGGTCAAGAGCTCTTTATTTTTTCTGGCTTTGGAAAAATCAAAAACCAACAAACAACGCTTTTGGTAGAGGGGCATGCAGTCTACTTTTTTCCTTTGTCTTCTCAATACCATCCTTTCTCACTCTTTTCACCCATACTCTCACTTCTTTCTCAGTCTTTTTTCCCTGTCTCCAGGCCCCCTCCCCACTTAGGAATTCTTGGCTCCTCTCTCTTCCCCTCCGGCTCAGGATGGCCCCGGGGCCGCACCTGCCAGGGTAGCGCTCCAGCCCTGCCCCACCGAGGGACTGGCAGTGACGTAGCGGGGAGCATGGTGCCCGCGCGGCCCGCTGACGTCACTGCCGCAGCGGTCCCTAGCGAAGCCCATGACTGGGAATTCAAGGAGGGAAAAGCCGGCGGTGACCCCGCGGTGGGCTGAGAACGGCGAATGCGCCGCGTACTATGGGTTTCTGGGGTCGGCAGGCCAGAACCGCGCCTCCTGCGCAGGATGAGCCCACCCCATACCCTCAGCGCACTGGAACGCAAGAGTTTAGCGCTCAAGGGGATGCCCCGAAACGGTGGGGCCTCGTGCGCACGCGCCTTGGGTTGCGAGGAGCTAGGGGAGAGAGTTACGGCGGGGAGTGAGGGGAGCTGCCGATGAGGTAGATGGAGGAAAACGTTTGTCGGGTGGGGACCCAGACACAGTTCCAGGGTGCCGAACGCAAGTAAGGCTACTGTTGCCCTCGGCCGCTGGCCGTCTCCCTGGACGCTGCGGCGGCGCGGGGCGCTGGGCCTGCGGCGCAGCGTCGTGACGTCACGGTGGCGGCCGCCCTGGTTGGCGCAAGGTCCGCGGCTGTAAAGTGTGAATTACGCCGGGCTCGCGCCGGCGGCGGAGTGAAGTCAGGCTGTCGGGGAGGGGAGGGGCAGGACTCCGGCGGTGGTGGCGGCGGCCCGAGCTGGACGCGGCTCCTGAGTCCCGCGCGCCCAGGGTCCGGCTGCTGGCTCCAGCCGTCTTGCACCGCTTTGCGCTGTCCGTGCTCCGCTGGAACTCTGCAGTCCGCGTACCTGCTCCTCTCAGCCGAGGAGCCCAGGGGCGGCGGGGTTCCCTGTGCGACTTTGCCTTTGCTGGCCTGGCTTGCACCCCGTCCCCCTCGCCTGGAGCGAGGCGCGCGCTGGTCTTGGTAACTGGCGCCGCGGCTGCCACAGAGCCTTACCACCGGCGGCCCGAGCGGAGGGCTGGGGTTGGCGAGGCGTGAGCGCGGCTTCCCGGCCCAGGGTCGGCGCCCGCCCGCCCTGCCCCCGCCTTGGCCCGGAGCCCCCGAGCCGCGGCCCCCTCCCAGCCCAGGGGCCTGCGGCCGCGGCAGGGCGGGCGCCGAGCGGAGGCAGGGCGGGTGTATTCAATGGAAGTATGTTACCAGCTGCCGGTACTGCCCCTGGACAGGCCGGTCCCCCAGCACGTCCTCAGCCGCCGAGGAGCCATCAGCTTCAGCTCCAGCTCCGCGCTCTTCGGCTGCCCCAATCCCCGGCAGCTCTCTCAGGTAATCGCCGCCGCCCGGCCCACACTTGGGGGCTTCTCTCTTTTGTTTGCCCACACAGCTTCACCTCCGCGACATCCTGCAGCCCGTGCATTGTCCATTGTCTGGGGATTTCTAGTCTGGCCTTTCGATTGGAGAGCCTTTTCTTTGAATCCTCCTGGCGGTCTCCCCTCAGTTCTCCAGCCTCTCCAGAACCCCCCACCCTGGGCTCCGGGATCCTCTCATCAGACCCTCCCCAGGCCCGCCACCTTTCGTGCCTGCAGTTTAAGCCCCAGGAATGACCCCCTCCTCTTTTTCGGTCTGGAAGTTGAGTCTTTCTTCCTTAGTTGTGGCCCCCGAGCACACCTGTGCTCCCCCGCCTTGCAGCATACTTGCCCCCCTCCCATACGCACACCTGTACGTGGTTCGCGCCTCTCCTCCCCCGGCTCCCGCGCGCCCCGCGGCGCTCGCCTGGTCCTGCAGGTCCCTCTGAACAATAGGCCTAGATGCCCCGTGGCTGTCGTCTCCCCGACTCCTTCGTTTCTGTGGTTGTGCTGTAAGGGGTATCAGAGGAACAAGTCTGCAAAGTTCATAGCCAAGAATCAGTTTTGTTTTTAATTTGATAAGGAGATTTTTAGGAGAGAAACTACTGATGTGCACTCACGGGAAGACTTTGTTTTGAGTGGTCCAATACCAGTTGCTCCTGGGCGTTTTTTTCCTGCGGTGATGCCGTTGGCACAATTCCTTAGTTTTGCGTGATTTTGATTGCCAGACTTAAAACAGAGAGGTAAAAAGAATTTTGTTTTGTTTACACCTGAACTCAGTGCCCTCATTTTCTGCTGCTGCCAGAAGTTATGGCTAATGATCACTTTTTAGATCAAATATGTTTTTCCTATTAGTTAAGATTATCTTTTATGGGAGTATATTTTCTCTCTCCCTTTATATTGTATTTTGAGCAAGGTGTGTGTGTGTGTGTGTGTGTGTGTGTGTGTGTGTGTGAGAGAGAGAGATTGCAGGTAGTGTGGACAGCACCTAGTAGAGATTTTGCTTGTAGTGTCTAGTAAATATTAGTCATTTACTTCTTTGCCTGAAGTGTTTGTAGAAGGAGCAAGAGCCTATATTTGGGTTTCTCTCTGAATCAATTTTTTTTTAAACTAAGACTTATTTCACAGCATAAGGTAATGAAGTCAGAGCAGACTTGCAAAAATTACTCTTGTGTCATTTAGAATAATATTGTTATTTATTTTGAAGGTTAGACCTGTGATCTGCCTTTTTAATACCAGTTAAAGCATTTTCAGATTGTAGAATTAATGTTGAGGAGATATTAATGCACTGATGAAGAAGTTTTTAATAGTAGTAGTTAAGGTTTTTAATGATAGTAACTTTTTTCACCTCTAAATATCATTTTACTTCCTCAGATCAGCAGGCACATGACTAATAACTCATTTCCAGTTATGTCTGAATAATAAAGACAATCACTGATTATTTATAAAATTATAAAATGTGAATAAAGTTCTTATGCTCTCTGAGGAGAAAATGAATGAGAAGGAAGATTCCAAGGGATTAAAATGAGACTGATGCCAGGGGTTTTACCTGATTTCTTAATTAATCCACAGAGACCAATTTTAAGCTTCACTTCTTGATTCATTTTCTAGCCTTAGGTTTAAATGGGTAGTGGAATTTTAAAAATATGATTGTGGCAGATGAAGCAAATACTGTAGAGTTACAGGAAATTTTCCTAACCTTTACAACTTTTTAAAAATTTTCTGAACCCCAAAGTGAAGTATATAGGAACTTCTTAAACTTTGGACAGAAATTTTCCTCAGTTAACACTTTTTCTACTAACATTGTGGTAAAGGTGAACTTAGTGGATGCTGAGATGGATATATTTGTCATTATCAAGATTTTGCATATTATTTAATAATAAAGCATATGTTGATACTGATTTCTTTAGGCCTAAATGGGAATTTGTAATAGAAAAAAAGGAGACAGAAAACCTTGGAATCCTGCTCAGAGCTTGTAAAATAAATATTTGGTTTAATCAAATGCTTTCTTTACCCTTGAATCTTTAGTTCCTAAGCCTGAAGGTACAGAAGTTATAAAAAGTTTTAACTGACTTTGTAATCTTAAGAGACGTAGGGAAAAAAAAAAAAAAAATGCAGCATAACGGAAACTCATAAATAAAAGGGAAAAAAAAAAAAAAAAAAAGCTTTTAAAGACATTAAGGAGAATAGTTACAGTTTTTGTACTTTAAGATATGCTTAAAACTGACAATCTTTTCATTTCCTTGTTGTCACCATAGTATTGGAGCCCAGGTCATAGTAGGTACTTAATAAATATCTGTTGAATGAAAGAATAGGTAATGAAATTATCTCTGACTGAGCATCAGTTTTAAATATGAAAACAATATGGGAGCATCAAAGTACAGCACAAATTCATGTATCCAAAACTGGGTTTAGAACTTGTAGCTGCAGACCGTAACAGTTCCAGGAATAAACAGAAAATACTGAGTGACCAAAATTGATTTGGTGGTCATCTCAAAGTCGGTGTGTTTTAGGCAAAATTCTGACACAACTTGTTTGCCAAGTAGCAGCAAATTTGAAGTGTGGTGGGAGGCTGCCAGAGTCAGTTCACACTGAGAGCACCAAAAGTTGACAGACACACCAAAGCCAGGGAACAGAAGAAAAACTCTTTGAAGCCACAGCAGCTTTTGCAAGCACCCTGGGACGTTTAGTTCAGGGGCTTAAGTGTTATACGACACAATAATTTTTAGTAAGAATAGTGTTAATAGAGTCTGTTTTTAAAAGTTGAAAGATTTGTACTGTTTTATGTTTTTAAAAAAAGATTTTCATGCCAAAGTGTTGGTGCTGAAATGGACAAGCTTGAGTTACCTGGAAAATTCATTTATGTGGAACACCAGCTCTTCTGAGGATGCCAAGTAAATGAGGCATGAATTTTTTGTTTTAAACCGGGACATATACTATTTCAAATGGTTAATATGAGTTTTTTGAATTAGTGAGTGATAAAGTAGATGAAGTGTGTTGTTTGTCATTTTTGGGTAACCTGTTGTTGATATCTGAGTTTAATGATTTGTCTTTCAGAATAACATTCTTATTTGGAAAAAAAATATTGTGAAGGCAGAAACTGTGTCTTGTTCACCATTGTATTTATGATGCTTTGCATAGGTAGGTTCTTGGTAGATATGAAAGTTGGGTATATTGATGGGTATACCAAAGCACTGCAGTTGGAATTATTCAGTCAGATTTTCTGTGCACTGGAAGCAAATCTTATATGGGATAGAAATTTGAGTTTTGATTTTTAGAAATCTATCATTAATCCATATTATTTCTAATTGAGCATTTGTCTTTTTTTTTTTTAAATAAACTATTTCACAAATGTTTACTCATAGAGCAGTTTCTTGTGAGTGAAGTTCCTTGTGTTAAGTGTTGAGAAAATGTGAAGAATTACAGGTTGAACATCCCTAGTCTGAAAATCTAAAATGCCCTAAATGGAAACTTTCTGAGTACCAGCATGAAGACCCAGAGCCTGCTGTTATTTGTTGCTGTTGTTGAACAGCTGATGCAGGTATTCTGGGGATGCTACTTGCTGCTTAGTTACCCAAAGCACATTATTTTCTCACTGTATTAATGTTACGTTGTTTACTGTTAAGTGTTTATGTGTGAATAAGTAGGAGAAAGTGATTGCTTATCACTAGCTTATAAATTCAGAGTCAGAAACGTTGATGCCAAACAAGTACAGATCATCCACATAGGTGACAAGATCGTCCACATGGTTGATGAGACACATTTGCTTCCTAGTGGGTCAGTGTATACAAACCTGTTTCATGCACAGAATTATTTTAAAAATTGTGTAAAATTGCCTTTGGGCTATTGTGTGTAAGGTGTATATAAAATATAAATGAACTTTGTGTTTAAACGTGGGTCCTATCTCCAAGATACCGCATGATGTATACACACAAATACTCCAAAACCCAAAGAAGCCTGAAATCCAAAACACTTCTGATCCCAAGCATTTTGGATAATTGATACTCAGCCTATAGTAGCTTTTTGTTGATGTTGTTTTAATTGTTTTTAACACTGCCAGCCTAACCAAGTTTTCCTTTTTATGCATACCCTTCCATATACACAACCATTTTTCAACTACAGTCATTATTTCCATTCTTTCTTGTCTTTAGCAGTGTTCTTAGCATATGACAAATTATCAAGGTCCTGTGAGTGCCAGAATAGTTCAAACCCCCTTGGATAAAAGTTGGATCCTTCTTCAGGAAATTTACAGAATTGTGATTGAGAAAATCGTAGGATTATATATGGTATAAGTGTATCAAAGTGTTATGAGACTCAAAGGAATGTACACCTAAATTTCTGGTTTAAATCAGGGCTAGCCTTATGTAATCGTCCAGGCTTGCTTAGGCCAAGGACTGAAGTTAAGCAGTTGTTTCTAGACGAATGGGTGAATGTAGGGGAAGGAGGAGGGAGAATGGCCCACATGGATATGATCAGAGCTGTTCAGTAGAACTTTCTGTGATGATGGAAATGTTTTTGCACTATCCAATAATAGTCACTAGCCTTATGTGGCTAGTGGGCACTTGAAGTGTGGTTAGTGTGACTCAGGAAATGAATTTTTACTTCAGTTTTATTTAAATAGCTGCATATGGCTAGCAGCTATTGTATTGGCAGAGCAGAGGTACAGTCTTAAACTAGGGTGATGTCATGTTGATCTATGAGCAACACGTTCATGAATGTTGAACATTTTGGTTTTTAGGTTTTTGTTGATCTGTGTAAAACTTCGTTTAATAAATGCTTGATAAAGTCTTTAAAATCACTAGGTTGGGTCAAAAGGTAAGAACTTTTTTGACATTCTAAAAAGGATCTATCCTTTGACAATACTAAAATAAATGATCATATCTGTTTCATCTCCAATCATATATTAATAGATATTTTATAAACATTTTGCTACTGAGGTAGATGCAGTGTGGTATAATGAGTTTGTTTTAAATTGCAGTA